ATCCTGCAGGCTGTGGATCTTCAGGCTCTGGTTTCACTATCACTAGTGCCGGCAGCTGAACTGCTCAAACCCGGCTGCAGCTGCTGCTGCTACTGCTGCTGCTACTGCTGCTGCTACAGCACAAGATTTCGGATTCGAACCAGATCCCCAGATTCGGTTCCCCGGCTCCGTTGCTTTGAGGGCTCAAGAACCTTCGTCCCCAAGTGGGGGCTGTCACAACGAGGGGGTTTGGGGCCTTGAAGTGGGTGAGAAAGCGAGCCTGGGCATCCTGAGCCGTACGGCCAGGGCCTCGCAGACCTGCCCTAAAACTCATATGAAGAAAACCTGGAGTCGAGGCCCCCGGGGCCGCCGTGGCCGCGGCGGAGGCGGAGCATGATGGCCCCCAACAACGCAGGCGCCCGAAGCTTGGGATCTTCCGGGAGTCACAAGACTTCCTCTGTCCGCAGGCTACACCTCCTATGCTCCGCCCTACGGCCATCAAGGCGCTGCTCCCAGAGAGGTGACAGGGGTGAGTTTTGAGAAACAATAAACCGCAACCGCATGGAATGTTTCCTGTGGCTCCCGAGGTGGAAACGCCCCACAGGCCGTTGTCAGTTTGTTGAGGGGGCTGTTCCGTGTGCTTTGAGGACTCTTGGCCCGGCAAGGCATACGGAGAGCAGTGGAATGGAGAGCCGTGGCAGGACTACGGCGAGGATGTGCAGGCCCGTGCTGTGCTTGCTGAACTTGGTATAGTAGCTGCAGAGATGGATGGGATCGGGGTGAACTGTTGCTGAGCCAACATGACAGTCTGAATGCGCAGCTTTTATGTGGGCCCTCGACTCCATAGTAACGATAGTATCCACAAGAAACTGCATCTCTGCAACATCGTACAATCCTCCAATGTTTCGTGTGGGGCATGTGTCGGTAGCAGCATACCGATGCCGCAGCGCAGAAGCCGCATAGTCTTAATTACCACTGACGAGTGACTTAAACCGGAATGGCGAGCAATCACAAGCTGGTTTGCGCACGGGCGGCCAGACGACAGTTCGGCGGTGCGTTTCAGCAAGCTGTTCGAGACTACCGCGGTGCTAAGTTGTCCGCTCTTACCTTGGCCAAAGGATTGGAGGAGCGCCTCCCCGACGGACTTTCGTATCTTCCGCTGGCCTTTCTTTACGACGAGGAAGTGGCACAGCTTTCCTGGGAAGGTTCCGTGGCGAGGGCCAATGCAGAGGCCCGGGCCAGGCAAACGAACTTCCGAGTGATGGCAAGGACCCGGCCTCTGCAACCGCAAGAATTGGAAGACAAACTTTACGAGTCCATTAGCTCAGAAAGAGGCAACAATGCAATCGTCGTACACGACGGGCGTGTCCATCGAGATGGCAGGACCATCTATGCGGTGCACTCCCGCTTCTGCCTGGATGCAGTGTTTCATGAGCGTGCTGACAACCAGGAGGTGTTTGAGGAGGCTGTGCAGCCTTTGCTGAATGCATCCCTTGAAGGAGGTCGGGCAACCGTGGTCTTTTTTGGCCAAACTGGCACTGGCAAGACATATACGGCCCGTGGAGCCTTGGACCTCATGTCAGAGCGCGTCTTCCAGAAAACGGACAACGTGGAGATGTGCTGCTACGAGATGGCAGGGACGCGCGGAGGGCGCGAAGCCTTCTTCGATTTGCTTGCGGGGGAGGAGAAAAGGCAAGTGAAGTGCTTGACTGGCGAGGACGGCAACGTGCACGTGCGAGGTGCTCAGACGATCGTGTGCACGTCCAGGAGCTCCAACCCGGAAGCCCTTGGCCCCAGGCCCTAAGCTTGAAATGCCGGAAGTAGATCTGCAGATCCCCCTGTAGGACAGAGCTCTGCAATGCAATGGACAAGGCATTCTTGTGGCGATCCTCTGAGTGCACCGAGCGGAACGAAGCCTCCTCGAGGTCCCACTGCATTCTGGAGTTCAAGTTCCCGGGTCCCGATGGTGAGAGTTCTGGGCTCTTCCGTGTGGTCGATCTCGCTGGCTCGGAGAGAAACTTCGAAACTCAAATGCACAGCCGGTCCATGGCTGAGAGGGGTGGCCTGATCAACTACTCGCTTCTCATGCTGAAGGAATGTGCGCGGGTGATGCACAACAAGCAGAAGGATCTTGAAGGCCCGGAGATGCATGTACCCTTCCGATCATCCCGGCTCACCCATCTCTTGAGGAGTTCCTTCACAGATGACTCACACATGACTACCGTGGTGGCCACGTTGTCCCCGTCTCCCACAGACGTGGAGCACTCCCTGAACACCTTGCAGCACGTGGGGATGATGCGCTCCGCCAGGGCTTGGGAGAAGTGGTCCGCAGCTTTCCAGGAGGCACCCGAGGCTCCTGTCACTGCCTCCGCGGGCTTCGACGCCGTCCAGGGCCGGGGCCGCGCACTGCACTCCAAGCTGCAAGATGCACGGAAGGGTCAACTCAACCTCCACGCTTTCCAGATGAAGACGGCCGTGGGAGGCAGCATCATGAAGAAGTACGAGGCCCAGAGCGCGAAGACAGAGACCTTTATCGATGCGCGCTGGCACCGAGAGCTGAATGTGAAAGTGCAAGATGACCTTTGGGTGCTTCGCGATGCCGACGCGGAAGCCACCCAGATCCTCTCCTCCTGGAAGGCCGAGCAATGGGCTGCCTCTAAGGCCTGGCCCCGAGATGCAAAGCATCGCAAAGCAGGAAGCGTCCGTATTTTCCGTCTCTCATAAGTCGTAAGTGCGAAGAGTCGTGGGGAGTCTTAGCATTCCTGTAGGTCCACGATCTCTCGCGCTGGAGCGCCGAGACGCTGCAGGCCTTCCTGCGCACGCTGGACCTGCCGGGGGAGGTGAGGATCCCCTCGACCATGACGGGGGCGCAGCTGCGCCGTTTGGGGCGCAGGCGCGGGTTTTTGTCTTAAGGATCGTCTTTCAAGTTTCCTCCACGACTTAGAGTCGATATTTTTTAATGTCAACGTTTCAATTTCGCCCTGCTCTTCTAAGGGGCTTGGCGGCGCTGTGCAGCGACGCCGAAACTGCCGAGGCCCTGGCTTTGGCCCTGGCGGGCGAGAGCCAGGCAGGCAAAGCAGCGGCAGCGGCCCACCGGAGCACCAACATCCGCATGACAGCCCTCGGAAACCACAAGGTCCATGCAGCCATTGAGCCATTTGAGCCCGAGATCGAGCCCGAAGCCGTCGATGCGAGCACCCATGCGCATGCGCAGCATGAGCCTGCGCTGGCAACAGCAGCTGCTTGAGCGCTCGCTAGCCGAAGCTGAAGCTGAACACCACCTTATACCGCCAGTGCAGTGCTCCGCATCGCCATTGGCCATGTCTGGGGCTTTGTACAGAGTGCCCTCTGAATTCGCCATGGCTTCCTTTAAGATTTGTCAGCACTTCCGCCGAAAAAAGAGCCAGCCGCCCTTTACGCGATGAAATTCTGTTACAAGCTACGTGAGAGGCCTACAGCGAGATGGACTGGCACGACCAGCGCCAGGCCGCGCCCAGCAGTGAAGCCTTGAGGTGCTGAATTAGAGAGCAGTCGGTGGTCAGTGGACAGCGGGCCCGGCTTGCATGTAGGCGCAGTGGATGCAGCACATCGAGAGCCAGTACTTCAGCAGGCCTGGCAACTTAGAACTGTGACCTAATTACCTCGTAGCTAAGCCTGTTGAAGCCCACCAGTCTGCCATGCGGCATCACTCATGCGAGGTGGACCATCGACAAGCAAGATGCCTCCAAGCTGGAATTGAGAAGTGTTGACATAGGGCTACATGAGCAGGAACACTGCTGTCCTGGCAGGGGCCAGCAGCGGCTGTAGTTTAATATCTGCTGCTTTGTGGCAGGTCTCATTCTTGTTTCATGATCTTAGTGGGTCTCCTTGCGCCTCAGGAGTGGCAAGCTTATCAATCCAAGTTTGATGCCGCGCAGGGACCACAGGAGATTCTCAAGGACGGGATCGACTTATTGAGGGCTGATGCTAAGCTCGGTGTGTGAAGTGAGCAGGGCTGTGCCAGAGTGCCACAGAGCAACCATCTTGATATGGCGAAGGAGAGTCCTGTCCCTGACGCTTCACGGTGGCCTTCCTCCAGCTCAAGAGTGTGTTTCGGGGTGCTGCATTGACTGGGCTTTTGCTTTGCTGAATGGTCGATGAAAGTGATGAAAGGGTCAAGGCGGTCCCGGCAACGGCCTCGCCACTACGTTGACTGTCATGCTTTTGTCAATTATTCATTGCTGCTCATGCCTGTGAAGCTGCAGACTGTCTAGTCAGAGTTGGTGCACCCATGTGACGGAGAGTCCAGCGCTTCCACAGCACAACCTTTATTGAAGCACTTTCGTCGTCCATGACCGATGAGCATTCCCGGTGCAACTTCTAGCACATAGCAGCACATGATCTTCTTCATTGAGAGCGTCCGCAGCTGCAGAGAGGCGGCAAGAGGAGGACTGTCAGGTTTCACTCTCCCATTGCTTCCCTGTAAACCGATCTGATGACATGTTCTCTGCAGGTCTTCAGGCTTTTCGTTGTCGCATTGGCCCGGCTGCGCAGCTTTACACCTTGGCTCAAGATGAGTTGGGGTTTCTTGTGCTTCGTTTGAAAATGCGGTGATGAATGGCCGGGGCCTCGTTGCAATGTGAGCCCGACTCGGACACTTTTGAAGTTTCCTCATCCCTACCCAGCACGGCCCTGCACGGCTTCGGAGGTGCTACCTGGAGCCATCGCTCGCCGGAAGCCTCAGACTCTTCGCTCGCGCGGGCGCGCTTTCAGGGAAGTATCAAGACGAGGCAAACGGAGCTCAGGCTTGGGCCATACAGCATTTTGCAGAGTGCGGCTTCGCGGGAGTCTGTGAATAGACCGCTGATGCGTGTTGCCACGTCCAGTTGCTCCCACTGCCCCAGGTGATTTTTCGGGACAGCTGGGGTCGGAGGCAGGTTCCCGCAGCCTCAATCCCCAGTGCCCCGGCGATGCATGTCGCTGTGCAGGTCAGCGAGCCCCCTCACAGCCTCCCGAAGAGTGGCCGGCCCAGACGAGATTGCAGGGAACCAGAAACCAGAAGCTTTATTACAATACTATAGATTCCATGTTGGGTTTCTTCTCGTACGGGCAGGTTCACTTTTCAGTGTTACTGGCCGAAAGCTTCTTGCTCGGATGACCCTTCCTTGGGTGACTAAGTCAGCTGTTCGGATCCCTACCTTTCGTCGCACAGCGCAGGCTCCAGAAGCAAGACAAGCGAATCCTATCCATCGAAGAGGACGGCACCTCACGTTGGACTGCCGCCAGTTTCACTCCCGGCGATTCTTGGCTTTGCAGGAATGCGGCCGAGTCCGTCTGCTCCCCAGCCTTTTGGTTATCGGGTGACAGTCGGTGACGGTGTGGGCGGTGCAGCCATGGTTTGCCCAAGGCGAATGCGGACAAGCTCTGCGCCTCTGTGATTTCTAAGGGCAAGGAGGCAGGAAGACATCTCTGGCCATCGCAGCCTCCTCACTTCATGATGACTCGGCTTTCAATGCTACAGGTTCAATTCTCACTCGATGTCGTTCCAGACGGAAAACTCCGCAAAAGCCAGGGACTCTGAAGGATGTCCATGGTTGGGAGCTGTTTCGAAGCTCTGACATCTCTGTGCAGCTTTTTCGGAAGGCGACGACCTGCCCAGTGCATCACCCTTGCTCGTCAGATGGCGCGGGTCCCGTGGGAACAGCCTGCGAGCAGACAAGCTCAAAGCGAATATCGTCGACTCGATGATAGATGATTAGCTGCGTTTCCTTCTTTCGGCCGGCTGCGAACGGTGCTTGCTTGTCGTACCCAAGGCGTCAGAAGGTGAGGATAGTTGCCGTCCGAAGCTAAGTTGCTGCATGCTTGCAGTGTCTTGCCTCGAACAGCAACTGCCTCTCAATTCCGAACCGTTCAGCATCTGCCGTTCGGCTTCCCTTGCAATTGTCACGTTTGGTTCCTTCCGAGCGGACAAATGCTCCTGTAAACTGGACAGAGAACTGTGTGATTGCCGTTTTGAGTTGTGACTGGTGAAGAAATAGTTTTATCCCGACTCCTGCAGCTCAGGCAACCGAGTTTGGTAGTTGGCCTGCGAACTTCCGTCCGAAGTCCTGTACCAGGTCATATCAGAGCTAGCTCTGCTTCGTGAAGTTTCAATACTCGGGAGGCTCCGCTATATTTCACGATCTAAAGCCCTCGTAGTCTTCTGCATGAAGGACTTGGGCCGAGTGCGGCTTGCCCAGGTCCTTGGGCTGTACGTTGTGTGGATGTTGTTTGTTGCTGCCCTCGACTCAGCTGTGCTTCAAGGGTTGCCTTTTTGCACCGCCAAATCATACTTGCACTTCAAGCTTGTTCCGTGCTAGAACACTGGCACCACTCTGATGTACTGATATTATACTCTGATATCCGTGGTGCCAATGCTGGAGCGTCCCAGTTGCCACCAGATCACCTCCTTACAACTTTCAGTGAGCGAAACATGCATGATGCAGGGCTGCCACATCCCCCTATTGTAACCATGATGTTCCTTCAGAAGCCTGGCTGCGAGTGTGTAAGCGTAGGCTTCTGAAGCCTACGCTTACACACTCACAGAAGTCTTGACAGCCGTTCAGGTTGCAATCAAGTGGTTCGGAAACATCATATGAAACGCAGGATGGTGGGACTGCTGCCGCCCGACTCTGCAACATGTGGTCGTAGTGCTTAACTTGGTGAATCTTTATGCAATTTTCGTCTGAAGTTTAGCTTCGATTTGTCACATCAATCCCCCATCTCCTTCGTAGTATTCTTGACAGCTGTGTTAATCCCCGTTGTGCAACAGTACTGCAACTGCTGGCAACACTCGCTCTAGCCAAGCAGCAGGAATCCAGGCACCCAAAGTGCCAATGGTGTACTTGTACGTAGACCCCCAACTGCGAAAATCCCAGAGCACAGTATCGATGTGCCTGTGCATTTATGTATATGCACCACTCTTGGTGCGCAAGTGCATGTTACCTGTATACGACAGGTGCACATGTGCGCACAAACACTTGCATATAGGCATCCAGACATTCCTTTTGCAAATCGCGCAGGCATGCATCGGACAGAGAATCAGTCTGACTGAGGAACAAGGTCGGAGTGACAGAGACAGATGGCCTAGGTTCGAGAGAAGGGTCGCAGTTGACAGCGGGTGGCACCGGGTAAGGAAGAGTTGCAGTGTGAGGAAATGACGAAGCCATTCTAAGGTTGCCTGCGTGGTGCGATCATTGCAGCGCCGATATCCCAAGATTGATTACGCGTGGGAAGACGTTCATGAGTCTTGCCTTCCGCAGTCCGCCATTTCCTCCGGCTAAAGGATCTCTGCCGCAAAGCCTTTCTGGCTGACAGCTAAAGTAAAAGGAGCTCTGGGAAGAGCTCCCTCAGTTGGAAAACAATTGGAACACAAAGAGATGAGTTCCAACGCACCATCTCGCACCCCAGCACCTCAGCATCAACAGCAACTCTCCTGTCAGTGGGGGTTTCGCATGGCCGCGCTGGCCGCTGCTGAAACATCTCAGGCGATGGTTCAGGGCAGAGCTGGGTAGGACAAAGCTTGTTTTGCAACGAGATTCCTAGAACATAGTGTAACATAGTATAGGTATGTTCATGGAGTAAAGCGAGACAGAAAGGTTGGAATTTTGGGCTTCGCGGACAAGATGAGAGGTGGAGGCTTTGAAGCATGCCATCGGCAGGTCTAGATGTTTTTGTAGCGTCGGATCCTTCTCACATTCCCAGAATCAACCGGCAAATCCTGACAGCAGATCCATTCCTTCCCCTTTCGCCACAGACCCTCACAATCTCCAAGCTCTGGTTTGGAGATCAGTTGTGGTCCGTAGCGGGCATGAACTGTGGCTATTTCCAGTCAGATCGAGGCTTGGGCGATAGATTCCAAGCCCGACGACCCTCAATTCCCAGGCGATTCGACAACGCCATGAGCAGTGCCTGGGCTCGGATAATCTGCGAAAGTCGGTAGGCTGGCTGTTCTCGAGCGACCTGCCCCAACCTTGTTATCGCGGAGGGTGTGCAAACAAATCCATGACATCCCTTCGTACTGCGCCTGGGCCCTCAAACAGGATCTTCTGGATAGTGAGCTGCGGAACGAGCGCAAAGGCATTGACCTGCTCCTCTCCACCACCCTGTCCACCACCCTGGCCAACACCACCGCGGCCCCGAGCAACGGGACCGAAGTGGACCGGGTCTCAGGGATGTTTGCGCTTGGGCGGAGGGCGTACACGGGCTGGCATGGACTGGCCTCTCCAGCCAGGTGGTGGTCAGCTGCCAGGCGCTGGCGGTGAAAGACACTGGCAGGCAGAATGGTAAGGCGAGTGGGTGGGGAGTGGGTGGGGAGTGGGGGGCCGGTGCGCTGGATGCACATCGGAATATGCAGGGTTCGGGGCACTGCGTCCGAGCAGTGGCCTGTCAGGCCACGACTCTGCTGGTCGCCGCCGCAGGGGCCTGAGTTGAGTGAGAGCGTACGAGAAGGTCTGTTTTCCCGGACCGGAACCCAAGGGGCTGAACTTGAGCACGCTGGCGGCGGCGCTGATTGTCATGTACCTGGTTTCCCGAAGCCGACGGCTCCACAAAGTGCCCGAGCTCGAAGGGCTCCGTGAGCCTTGGAAGGGGACAGTTCTCAGGCTCCTGAACCCTCTCGCTGTTTGCCCCACTTCTCAGACCGTCCTACAGCAGGCCCAAAGCTATGGTACCCAAACCACATGAGTGAGGGGACACCCCCGAGCACCCTTCTGCAAGCCACTTTCATTCTGAGGACGGCGAGTTACAAGCATTGCGCGTGTCTTTAAACATGGCAAGCCTTAAGAGACTTCGACGGCGCCTAAACGACGTTCCCCTTTGCAACCTGCGGCTCTGGAGGATTTCTTGCAGACAAACGCAGCCCCCAGCCCTGTTACACCTTAGCAGCTGCAGCAGCACTTCTATCTTGAACTCCTTCGTTCACGGGAGGTGCTCGTTCCAAAGAAGAAAGGGCGTCTAGGACCGTGGACTGGGTCTGTAGAGGGGAAGGACGTTGAGGCTGCGATGAGCCTTGCGGGGTAGCAGCCATGACCCTTGTGTGCACGAGCAGGAATGCCTTGGGAATGGATTCGTGCCTCGACCAGCATCTGGATAGGGTTGCATCAGCAGGTCGATAAAAAGCACTGCTGCGAGGTGATGCCTACCGGGTAGGTTTGGACGACATGGACGTGATCCCCATCGATGGGCAAATGGCCGGAGGCTCAGAGGCTCAACGTACGTGGCGAGTGGTTTCTGGAAGTTTTCTGGATGGTCGTAACCGTTGGCTGGAAGGTTATCCGCCTCTGCTTGTTGGGGCTGAAATTCTCTGCCTTTGGCACTGTGATCAGCTTCGCCATGCCCCCAGCCAAAGCGGTGCCCGAACGGAGAGAGATCCAAGTGGGTCCTCTCAGGTGCTGACGCCCATTTATGCGACAGCAGGAGGTGGACAGAGCGGCATCTTCGCTCTGACGATCAGCAATCTGCGACTCGGAGAGAAGTTTCTATGCATCGTCCACGATTTCGCCGCTTAAATTGAGGTCCGCTTCCGATGAGCAATACGTTTTTGGGCTCGTGGTTGCCGGAGCCTACTTTCTGGTGTTCTTCTTCATCTGGCTCGTTCGCCACTTGGCAGAATGCGGGCTTGCATATGCACATCGGACATGCATTGCCGCATTGCCTCATCTTTCCCTTTTCCAGGAGCTGAATGGAGACATTTTCTGAAGCTTCGTCAAGAGCACTTCTTGCGAAGAGCCAAAGGAGTGGAGGGTTTGACCTCGGCTCAGGCCTGGTCACAAGGGCCTGGCTTGGGATTTCTGCTTTTTTTTGCTGGGGCCTGAGGTGTTTTTCGGAGGAGTTCGTGCAAAGGAAGTGAGAGGAGAGATCCCCCCAACTGCCCGATGAGTGCCAATAAGTTGAGATCGATTTCCTTCGTTGTATATGTGGCCCTCAGCTGACCCGTATCCACAATGTGCTGCGAAAGGCTCAATACTCGCTGCTAGTCCAGCGTTTGCCGAAGAAACAGCAGGCCAGCTGATTGTCGCTCGTCGCTGTTAAGTGGGGCTGGGCATCTTCAGCTGCATCCTCCTCGTTGCCAGGATTCGAAAGCCATCAAAGACTTGTTCTCCAGCATCTTTCCCGACAGGCTCGTGGCTTTTCACATAGTATCCCCTGAACTTGCAGCCCTCTTTGCATGTTCCTGTGTTCCCACCTGGCGAACGAAGCATCCCGCCGGCAGGGTCCACTCAGCCGTGTCTCAGCGAGACACCTTGCTGTATTATCACCTTCGGGCGCTGAAGAAAACTAGCCCCAAACTAAGAACAGATTCGTAGCTGTTGATTGGTTCCACAAGAGCTGAAAGTGGCCAAGGTGACAACCTGATGGTGTGCTCTTGCTGCCAGGACGTGTGCTTTGCTGTTTCATCCGATGCCATCTGACTCTCCATCAGTCTGACAACACTTCGCACTTGTCGGAATGTGCCATTTGCCTGCATTGCCTGCGAGGGCTGCGTCCATCGGCAGCTGGAGCGGACGGTGCAGCTTGAGCGCCGGCTGGCCCGAACCTACAGGCGGACTTGTCGCGCTCATCCAGCTAAAGGCGAAGTGTTCCAATCTGCAGGGAGACGGAGAACGCCTTGCAGGGCTTTGCGCTAGATGGGCAGGCACGGACCGGCTCGCTTTGCTTTTGGTGTGCTGTTCTAGCTCGCCTTCAGGTCGAGGAGGCTCTCAATCTGGCCGCTTTTTTCGCAAGTGCGTTTCCGCCCCTCCTTTCGCCACCGTTTTTTTGCTCGGAAACCGAGGTGCCAATGCCCTTCGAAAGCCGACCCAGCAAGTCCAAGGCGAGGGTTCTTTCCTTATCAGGAAGGATACTTCAACCGCTCGTGCGCATCGTGCCTTGAACTCCAGGCGTGGGGGAGACCGGAACTGCGGAGGTCCGCACACCTCACCAGCGAGCAGAGCAACGCCCCGACCAGCACGGGCTTTGTCACGCTGAGCTGCCTCAGCGCGACGAGGCTGCAAGTTGGCTGGGCCACAAGTTTCCCGATGTCTCCAATGGTCTCCGGCGCGCACCATGCGCACCCTCCGTTGCACTCAAAATTTCTGCCGCGACTCAGGATCGCGTGCTCGCTGAGCAGGCGCCTTTCGGGCACAAGTTGAGGCAGTTGCAGTTGCACCCTACACTGGCCACACCCTCAACGCCACTAAAACCCCCCTGCGGTTGCCGGTCTTCAAGAGCCCTCAGGGTACTCTGTGTCTGCTACCGAACCAAAAAGCCAAGTGCCGCAATGTGCTGCGGACTGCGCCGCGCGGAGGTGACGCTCTTCGATCACCCCGAGCTCCAGGGCATCCTCGTGGAGCCAGCTCCGGAGGCCGAGAAATCCGACTGCGAGCGCGTCGCGCGCCCATAATCTGCATGTAAGGCTTAAGGCGATGCGTGTATAGGAAGCAAATCGAGCACTTCAAGTCTAAGGAAAGAGGTATTTGCACATGTTCCCATCTTGACTTGGGGTTGTTAGATCTGACGGCAGCTTTTCTCGCACTCTCCCGGTACTCGTCCGCCCTCCGAATCTGCAGAGTATCCCCGAGAGCATCCGGCAGGGTGTCCCATGAGTGCCCATCCCAGAGCTCCCGCCAGCAGGGTGGGGATGCTTGAAGTGGTCGTTTCAAATGTTTACATGACTAGTGCAGTGCATGATTCGGGGACATGCAGCCGTTAAGCAGATCAAGCCTTGGATGGAGCTAACGAACAGGAGGTTGTTGTCTTGCTACGTTGTTGTGAATATCCCTGGCAAAAGCTTCAACAAAGGCAATGATCCGGCAAGCAAAGCCCGAGCCATGTAACGTAGAATCGATGTAGAACAGCGTCTGTTCAACAGACGAGGACAGGAGGGTCCTTGGCAGCTTCCCGTGCTATGTCGGTGATGTCCGCAGACTCGGACCAAGACGAGGATCTGGAGGATGCTGCCCAGCGTCGTGGACGCGATCCTAGCATCAAGTTCACGGCTTCGAGCTGGGTCATTCGCATGGCCCAGTCTCAAATCAACGATGAGGGTTTAGACCCGTGGGAGGTTTTTCTAGCCGCCAACGAGCGGCGTCTGTTGAAAAGCACTTCCTCCGCAACATTCATGAAATTAGACGGCGTGCTTGAAGCATTTTTCGAAACCCGTATGCGCCCGCTAAATTCATATTGTAG